AAAAAAAAAAAAAAAAAGAAAAAAAGAAAAGAGCATGTATCTCCGTATTTTGGATAATCGGCGTGTCAAACTTAAGATAATTTTTTCATAAGGAAAATGAAAAAATAATATGTGATATGTAAAACATTTTAGTCTTTTAATACGATGCATATTTGACATTTTTAGAAATTTTTGATTTCCCCCTTAAATTTAAAATCAAGTTTTTTGCAAAATAAATTCTGATTTTTTTATATATTTTTAGGTATTTTATTCTATATGTGAGATCTATTGTAGAATCGAGATCTTGGACCATCTTTTTACGATATCTGAGCAACATTCCTTGAAATCATTCTATTTTTATTTTTGCGACTTTTGTTATAAGAGAGAACCACGCACGTGTTTAACTTCATCAATCTAGAATAAATACCTCTCACACAAAAGAAAGATCTTTCACACAAATTTTACTTCTAATAATCTCCCGTTTTCTTTGTTAAAGATGCACACCAAAGGTGGATCAGGAACATCGCGGAATACGGGTCCGATCGTCGTTTCATCGCGAGCGGGGCACAGGCAACACACGTAACGGACACGCCGAACGTATACCGGATGGGGATTGCCCCATGTTCCAAGTATTACAAGAGCGATCTTCTGCGTGTCGAGACTGTCGATGCGGCAAAGAGGCCGTGCACGGGACGTCCCGCGTGAATCCCGCGTTTCTCATCCGCTCAAGGTGTGGCGCCAAAGAATCCGAAGAACGACCTTAGACGCGACCTCGCCTAGGATCGACAAAAGTTGCACGCACCCACAGTTTAGGTATAGCCGGAAAAGTATACTTACGCGGAATCTATAAAGAATCTACATTCCGATTGTCATGCTGATCCTGCTAGTCAGTGGATATAATTTGCGCCATAATATGTGTAGCTTTGTATAATAATATATGTATATTAGCTATTTTTTAGAAATAGCTTTTCATGTGTGAAGCCATATTTTTCTATTTAAATTATATCTTCTATATAAATCCTTTTATGTAAATAACAATATGCATAGAGAGTCTGTTACCTTGTCAACAGTAGTTACCTCATTAACAATGATATAAAATGTAACGTAATTAATAATATACGACCTGTTAATAGTCAACTTTTGTCTTATTTAAATTTTATTTCGTATAAAACAAATTTTTAATAATAATATTTCTTTAGATCTTCCAGAGCAATATATATTCACTTTTTTTTATACATATATCAAAACTGTCCAGAAAAAAAGTAGTCGTGTGTTGTCCAGAGATTAATTAAGGAATTTTAAGGATAAAAACAATTACGATTCAAAAAATTCTTTATAAACGTTTTTAATGAGTTAAATCGACTTCAAGTATGTGATTATAGTATATAAATACATGACTGATTAGCGAGCACAAATACTCGCGCTTCGCCATGGGACACGTTTCGGTCGCGTAGGCGATCGACTCGTACAGAGTGTGGGTAGACGAGTTTACATCGCTCTGCACAACAGAGCCGGTGTGTCCTATAAGTGTATCGTCGAACGTAACAGGAAGTAACGTGGTGCGAATATTAACGAGCGTGTGCGGGCGCGCACAACGAAAGCGTTTACGGCTCGTTCTCTGCGCTGCACACGCGCGTGGCTTGACGTTTTGCAACACGTGCAACACGCGCGCGCGCGCTGCACTCTTGATGTTTTCGCACCGTGTTAACCTTTCATGAAACGGACGCAAACAATATACGTAAAGCCTCGCCTTATTCCCGTAGTTTAGAAGCTTTAAAGATGAGGATAAATATGTCATGAGAAAAATTTTGTGCATTTAAGGAAAAAAACCAATTATTTTCTAAAATATTTTACGAAGTAAAATATGTTTTTTCTATCCTTTTTTGTCTATTTTTTTTTTTTTTTTTAATAATCTTTTTTTCAAAGAAAGTGATATCATAGAATGTTGATAAATATATGAAAAAGTCTGTATATAGTAAAAAAAAAGTATCTACAAATAATATTTAAAGTCCATATGTTCCCCCCTCCACTCTGTTAAACTATATTATTACTACAAGAATACGATTAAGAAAATTACTACTGAGTATATTGATATATATATTCTAAGATGTGCAATTTTTTAAAATTTGATATAAAACATCCTGTATGTTTTTACAGGAATAAGAACTGATAACGTGACTATAGTCTGCATTATCCAAAATTTAGACATCAAAGATATTTGAGCGTAGGTTTGAGATGCTGTGATTGAGTTTACAATCTGAAGTATGAATACACATAAAAAAAATAAATATATAGTTTTATATAAAATCTTAATAAATCAGTACAATATTACAACTTTTCAACAAACATCATATCTGAATTTATCTAAAATAAACTCAATAGCATTCCCATTTATATGTATATGATAAGGTATACGTTAAGAAAAAATATATAAATATTTTTGCATCACACTCACATTATTTATGCAACCATTACAAAGTGCTGTGGATCTGTATATTTGCTTAAGTAATTTATTACTCAGCTCCGCTTGAATTTATTTTGAAAAGGTGGTAAGTCCAAAATTCTAGCTGTGCCAAGAAGTACTAGCACTGGAAATAGAATTATTTACATATGTAAATATTGTAAGTGAAATTTATAAATATTTAACATCAATTTATCATAATTTATCAATGTTTTATCGATTAAACTTTTTTCGATACAATACAAGCGCCGTCTCAGCAAATTCGAATAAAAAAATCACAGTATCAAAGCTATGTAATGCAATATTATACTTGTATAAAAACATACCAGAGGCAATCGAGTACATCGCTGCTTTCCCCACTTGATGCTGATGCTGTTTGGAATGATGACAGACGTATAAGCCAGCGGCGACAAGACCGCCACCGCTCAATAGTCTGCATTCAAGACAATCGCGATTTCTGTTACTAATGATACTATTTACCGTGTGTACATTCGACATGTCTCGGATGATATCAAACAAGCAGATTTACACGAGTATATCCCATGAATGTTCGCAGACGCGTAATATTTTCTTAAATTCTTTTTTTAAGAAAATCCTTCCAACTTGATGTTATTTAGCACATGAATCTCTGTAGTTTTGAGCTAACACCGTCACAAGAGTACGTGATACTCTAAAGAGGTTAGGAGAGAAATTGTCGGCAAGCCACGGAATATCTCATGTCTCATCTTGATTATATATAGATATACTGTCAACTGAATTTTATTCAATCTTCAATCATCGATACAATTATGCAAGTAGTAGTGAAAAATTGCATTTAAATTTGCATTTGATAAAATCACTAGATTTAAAAAGCGAATCTTTTCCCTGCTTCTGATTCGCTGTTGACCTGCCATATTTACTACAATCATGGAAAATATTTTACTCACCACGTAAGATAGTCTGTTCTCTTTTATCGATTTGTCATTGGCGGATTTGCGCTCTGACGTTTCGGACAAATTTCATTGTAAACTCGGCTGATGTTGAACGAGTCTAGGAACTTTTAAGGAACAAATCTTTTCATTGGATATTAGATAATAAATTAAACACGTCCATCTTTCACCGCGTTTAGTTTATGCCTCAATCCAAGGAACCGGAAGTCACGTGCATGAGAAATATTGAGCCGCTAAGCTTCCGGTCCGTATACATTCTTCTCGCCTCATCTTGCACATCGCTTGACCGATTCACGTTAGCCGATAAATTGTAAAGACTTGATATATGATAGTATAAAGGAAAGGATTTACAACATTTATATACGGAAATAATGGCGGCGACAATGAGGGGTCTTATGAGGCTTAATGTAAAATTGGCCAGCAATATCGTACTGAAACACAACTTCCTAAACTGTACGTAACATCGTTTAACCTCGCATCGCATTACTCTTCGATCTTTTTGGATTAACTTTTTTTATTTTTTTATTATTTATAATTTTTGGCATTAACATTTGGATATCACTTATATTATACTTTAGAATACATACGTCAATATGTCCAATAGAAACTTTTAATTAATACTCCTATTTTATGTATTACATCATGATATACTCTAGCTAGCGATAATTGATAAAGAAGATTAAATAAATTACACATGCTTTAAAAATTATATATTATTATTATATACAAATATATTAAATGTATTATATATGTATGAGAAGGGAATGCAGCAAAAAAAGTAAATTTTTTTTTTTTTTTTTATATTTATTAACTATGATTTTTGTATGTTTATCAATATTTTATGACATATAACATTTTTTTAGGAAGAAAAAGATTATATGTTATTTTTTTTACTTTGCAGCATGTAGATTCATATATTCTGAAAAAAGTTTGGGTCTACAAGGCTATGAAAATGCACGTTTAAACTTTCGCAATCAATTTTTAAATGTGGAGAATACATTCCGTACTAAAATGCAGGAGGTATGCAACTCAGAGTCAGGTCAGATTTTCACAGAAGACCTGAAGTCCATGTTGCACTTAGCACAGAAAAAGCCCGAAGATATTGAACTACTTGTCAGGATGATAACAAAGTTTAATAGTCAAAACAAAGAATTGAGATTTGGTACTTTTGTCTTTGGTCCTGTGGTAATGCGTACCTTTTACTATCTTGATGAACCAGATCTTGCGCTCACTGCTTTCAAAGATTCTGAGTTTGAAAATTTCTTTGATCAAATGATTAGCTACCAGATTCTCTTATCTCTGCTATATAAGCATGGAAGGTACACAGAAATGAGAGATGTGTACGACATAATTAAAACTAAAAATCTAGATTCTGGTGGATATCCAAGGAATTCTTTGATATTAGTTATGGCTGCTTGTTACAAAGAGGTAACATTTCTTATAAAAGAAATTAAATCTCATCAAAGCTTGTTTTACATAATCATACTTGATACTTTCAGAATACACCAGAAACATTGCAATATGCCCTAAATCTCTGGAGGGAAATAAACGACAAAGGATTTATATTTATGCGTAGAGCCAGTACATTTTTAACAGCTCTAGCCATTAATCAAAATTCATCTCACATAGCTATAGAAATTTTAACTGCGATAAGAGAATCCCGATATATCGATGTAAGATGTTTGAAAGTTTTGGCATTTACAGACTTGAAGAGATTTACTGAAATAGTGCCAATCTTCAGAAGATCGTTAGAGTTTGATAACCCAAATACTCAGAAAGAAAAATACTTCAGAGATGTAGTATGTATCTGCTTATAATTTGCTTAAGTAATATAACAGACATGTACTATATTTTTTGCTGATTATATCTGTACTTTTAGATTGAAAAGTTGGAGGAGGCTATGGCGAAGGAGAATATTCCTGAGGACTTTGAACTTTACAAATTGATTGCTCTGTTGAAAAACAACGATCATATCTTGCTTGATGTAAGTTTTACTAAGCTGATCACTCATTGATCATTAATTATTATTAATCTATTGCATATAGTATTATATTATTCTAAAATGTATTTTTTTTTATATATTACAAAGGATATGTACATGTTTAATCAAGTCGAGACAGAAGTAAACTGTTCAATATCTGCGTGATTATGATGAAAAGAGTTGAATGTAACTGTATATTTTTTCTAGACCTTGGAAGATCATATCGTCTCCGAAATATCTGTTGATCCAGTGAAACGTGCTCAAAGGCGGTTGAACGCTTTTCAATCTAATATTCAATCTGCTTCACAACGGCAGCGATCGTTCTCACGTAATAGACCAGTATTGCGAGATCTTTTGTAAGTGTGCTCCAAAGTTGTAGAATGTGTTTCGTGTAACCCAATAATTATTAGTTTGGGTAAAATTAAGATTAAACCGATGAATAAATAAATAATCTATATCGATCGACAATGGACTAAATCGCATTTGTTTTTATTTAAATATGATTTTCTTAATCACAAAATATTGTTTTTATTTAGTAAATATACTTACTTTAGTAAAAACATTTGCAATTTCATCCATCATCGGTCAATATGGGTCAATATAGAAATCAATTTTATTATTGATATACCTTCCTCATCTATAAAAGTGGATAAATTTTTAATAATATTCATAAAAGAGAGACTTTAAATTATATATATACGCGATTCATTACATAACTTAGATTTATTATACACAATGCATACAAAATATATTCTTACAATAAACCATAAGAAAAGGATGCACACAAATTGCAAGTTTTATTAACTTAAGAACTGTTAAGTTCTTGTGTATTATGAAGCAGCCATTGTGACATATATTTGGAAGTTTGGAATTGTGATCTTATCATGGATATTAATGATGACATCCATTGATTATTAATTTTGGAATCCTTATCTGTACATCTATAAACAGAAAAGTAATATATATGTGTTCGGCAACAATTGTCAGAAACAAATAAGACAAATAAAATGTCAGTTTTCATAACACTAACCTAGGTAAAAGAGCAGCAATAAAATTAGCCCAGCTCTCAACATTGGTGGGATATGTAAATATATTTTTCTGAGCCTGCCTAAGGCCCTCTGTCGTACCGAAATGACTGTACGCGGATGCGCAAGCGACATATACAATATCAGTCATGGATGTATTTCTGCTTAAAACCAACGCTGTCTGAGCACATTTACGGAAGATGTCTAAATTTTTGTTTAACAATGAAACTCTAACAAGACGAACCCAATACTTAATGTCATCTATAAAATAAAGATATTTGTTTTAAAAAATAAGTTTGAATATTTGATAAATGATATTGTGAACTTACTAGGATGTCTGAAAATAGCTTTGGAGAAAATTCGAATAGCTTCCGTGAGATTTCCTTGAATAACATGATAATATGCAGACAATGTGACGATATGATGACCATACTCGTGATGATCTGTGTATGGTTCCAATTCCTTCAATACTAAAGAAGTCAAATTGAAGTCATTGTGCAGAATTCCTAAAGCAGCGGTTGCCAAGAAGCCAGCTATGGTGGGTGGTTTTATTTGTATGCATTGGAATAGCAGGGTTTTGACAGCGTCCGCTCCTTGAAAAATGTAAGCAATCGCTGCCATCGCGCATAAAACATTCGCTTTGTGCGTTTCAGTGTCCGCCATCCAATGTAGAGCTGCTTCGTACATATTGTACGATTCTTCATACTGTTTAGCTACATAATTGATAAAATGTTTGTTTCTTATTCTCTTCAAAATTATATATGTTTAGTTGAATACAAATCTATAAAAAACTTCTGCTACCTTTGAATAAGGATAATGCCAGATGGCATTGAGAATTGAAACTTCCACGTTTCACTTGTCTACATAACTCGATCGCTTGCTCATGTTTTCCGATTTGAATCAGGACACGTGCCAAATTTATGGATATCATGTCTCCTTCTTCGTCCTGGCTCAGTTTTAAAGCTTTGATAAATTGCTTAACCGCCGTGTTATACAATTTCAATCGTTCCAATAACAGACCATGAGTATTTAGAGCGTAAACGTCATTTGGTACATGTTCTAAAATTTGATAAAATTGCTTTGCCCCAAAATACAAAAAGAGAGTATCACGTCGCGCTGATGTCGTTATCTCTCACACCCACCTGTATACCAGGTAAGAACATCGGCCGCTGCAGGTATTGCGTGCATTTTTTCGATAACGTAAACAAATAACGGATCTCTTTTCATTGCAGAATTTAGAAGGGTGGTGAGTACCCAATGAGCGTAGCCTAAAGCCGCTTCATTGTGATAACCCAATTGCGTCGAATGCCGGAATAAATCCATCGCTTCCTTCCTCAGTAAGTTCTCCGCGATTATTCCTTGGCCTATCCAACTATTTATATAACTAGGATCCGCACGTTGCGCTCGAGAGAATGCTTCGTTCGCTCTATAGATATCTCCTATATATTAACAAGCAATACATTAGGCAATTGTTATAAAATCCATAATAACTTGATGGAATAAAATGTGAAAAGTGACAGTTATGTTTTTAAGTGTACCTAAATGCAGATACAATGTTCCCAGATTGCTCCAAGCTATTGCATTGTTTGATTCTCGATCGATTGCCATAACGAAACAATGCTGGGCCAGAGCATAATTCTTTATATATGGCGATATACAAATAACGCCTAAAATGTTCCAATGTAGCCATGACTGCGGACAAAGTTTGACGGCATGTTTTGCAGCGGCAAGACATTTGGCTGCCGTGTCATCCTTGTTGACTGTAGAATCGCGGTCCAATTGCATCGAGTAACAGCACGCTAAATCATGCCATAACAACGCAGAATTTTGCGCGGTTGACAGTGCTCGACAAAAGCATCTGACAGTAAAATGAGATGATTTATCGATAAAGCTAAATTTTTGAAGCTATAAATATCGTTTGAAAAATGAAATACGGCAAATATTTAAAAAATATCTTAAAAATAATTTCTTTTTTTTTTTTTACCTTATTGACAGCCTGAGTATTTCATTTCCTCTAATGCTCATATGTTCCTCGGTACTATCGCATTTCATTAAAATAGGTTTAACTCTTAAGTAGCAATATTTTTCTGGCATACCAGCTGTTCTAAAACAGACATCGCCAAGTAATTTCCAATTGCAGGATAGATCACTACGTATCATAATAGCATCCGTAAGATTATTTGCCGCTTGTTGTAGATTTTCTCTCGCACGACATAAAAATTGTTTTGTGATATTTTCCCTTGCCAGACCCAAACACGCTTGAGCTAAACCTTTTAATGCAAGAATATATTGTTTATCATTTTTTAATATACTTTCGAAATCCTCTTTGGCTTCTTTATGCTGACCAATGAGCTGGAAAAAAAAATTTTGTGTATCAATATATATATGTGTGTGTGTATGTGGTACGTAATTGGTAATTTTCATAAATTTTATATACCAGTTTGATATTCGCAAGTTGTATCATGGGATACAAGGCTTCTGGACTCAGCTGTAGCGCACGTTGATACGATTTCAACGCCGATGTGTGAGCACCGCGCACTAAATATGCATCCGCCAGAGATTCCCAGCTATGACTATACAAAGTAAATTTGTGATAAGGTACGTCACAGTGCTTTGTAACAGGATAAAATAATGTTATATTTTTATACTTGTCGTTAGGATCGGCTCTGATCACATGCTGTAATGCCTTGATAGCTTGTCCCGCATCACCTTGATCTAAATACTGTAGACCCAATTGGAGCCAGGCCCATTTCACTCCTGTAGCTTGTTGCATAGTTACCCTTTGCAATAGCTGTATGTTGGCATCCTAAGTACCATATATAAGATTACCAGTTAGATTGATCAAAACTTTAGGAGGATTATGTGATAATTGTTATCAATATACAAATATGTAAAAAATTTTTATATAATGTTTATTACAGTGTTCTTCAGAAGCCGATAAGCTGTGCTCAGTCCAATGCCAGCTTCCTCAGAATTTGGATTGATTTGCAATGCAGTATGATAACATCTTCTCGAACGTTCAATGTCATTACCGTGTTCGCGATAATAATGTCCCAAATAAATCATGCATTCCCAATTATTGCGATCCGCTTGGACGCCATTTAAGAAAGCCATCAGGCTGTGATTGTAGTCTCCCATATCCCAATATATCTTACCAAACGTCAACCAAGCTTCAGAATTATTTAGAGCTAGCTCGAGAATGTTAATGGCTTCCTCGTATTGCTTGTTCTTCTTTAGGTACAATGCTTTGAGTATAAGAACTTGAATTTTAATTTCATCCTGAGACTCCAAGCTACTTAATACAGTAATAGCATCAGGCTTATCCAGTAACACACTTGTCCGTGCATATATCAATTGCAATTGGACAGAAGGTTCAGTCTTCAATAACTGAAAACAAATTTAAATAAAAAAATATTAAGAAAGACTTGTATAATAAATTTTACATAACATTTTGTACATGTTTCAAAAAATACCTCGTCGCATGTCTGTTGTGTCTGCGTCAACTTTTGTTTGTTATTACTTCTACTCATTGCTTCAAGTAATCTCAACTTAACTTTACAGTACAATTTGTCCTTCAAATGAGGTTTCATCAATTGTAATGCTTGTTTGGAAGCATTCTCGGTTTGTTCCCAGCAATAAAGTTTATAATATACTTTGCTTAATAATAACCAGGCATAAAATAATTGTGCATTTAACGAGATTGCTTGATTCAAACATTCGCGAGAATTGATTAACTTCTCTGTGCTCTTCAAATATGCTGCCTTTGCAATTAATGCAACCTCAGAATTTGCATTCAGCTTTAAAAGAGATTCATAAATATGAGTTATATTAATGTCAAGATCCTTTTCATTCAATATAGCCTCTTCATAATAGACACAGCAGATCCATTCTGTTATACAAAGGAGCTAATTATGTCACTAGAAAATAATAAACATACTGAAAGTATCAACAAGATTTGATTAAAAATGGTTTACCTAAAGGATAAGCATCTTGTGGAAATTGAGAATGCATATTCTGAGCCGCCGTTAATAAAATAGTAAACTTGTTTGAATCATATAACATCTTTAAATATTTCCTGTAATATTCTTGTCTATTCACTAAATCTGTATCATTTATTACAGATGCTAATATATCTTCATAAAATTCCTGATACTTGGTCATACTATTATCAGAGTACTCTGTTAAAACCCATGCTAGAGTCTTATCAATTAGACTTGTCTTCTCTTTGGTAGAAACTTCTCGTAATACGCTCAATGTATCTAATACTTGAGACAGTATGTCATCATTCTTGGTTCTCAGAACAATTTCTGAGACTTTATTGATAAAATATGTGAACTTAGGAGAATCACTAAAGAGGCACAGAAACTCATGGTTTGTTATTGCTTTCTATATAATTTAAAATCTTTTAAAAATTAATAGCGAAATATCTCGTACCTATCCAATTGTAAAAGTTTGCAGTAAGCTAGAGCCAACTTTTCCCAGTTGTCATTATCTTGAGGCATTTTTTCATAGTATGCCACTAGACCTTGCCAAGCTAATGGATTATTTGGTTGTATCTCCACAGCTTTTTGAAGAACC